CTTCTCCATGCTCAGTTAGGTCATCCAAGTCTTGCCAAGTTACAGCAACTTGTCCCTGCCTTATCTAAATTGTCTAGTTTGGCATGTGAGTCGTGTCAATTAGGCAAGCATAGTCGTACTTCCTTTCCTCGTAGTGTCACACGTGGTGCTTCGTCCCCTTTTGCCATGGTTCACTCTGACATTTGGGGACTTAGCCGCGTTAAGTCTACTTTAGGTTTTCAATACTTTGTTATTTTCATTGATGATTATTCCAGATGCACTTGGTTATTTTTGATGAAAAATCATTCTAAATTATTTCATATCTTTCAAACTTTTTTCAATGAAATTCAAACTCAGTTTGGTGTTTCTATTAGAGTTTTGCGCAATGATAATGGTCATGAATATCTTTCTCATTCTTTTAAACAATTCATGGCTTCTCATGGTATTTTGCATCAAACTTCTTGTGCTTATACACCTCAACAAAATGGTGTAGCTGAACGTAAAAATAGACATCTTATTGAAACAACTCGCACTCTTTTAATTCATAGAGAGGTTCCTTAGCATTTTTGGGGTGATGCTCTTCTTACTGCATGTTATCTTGTTAATCGCATGCCATCTTCGGTTCTAGATAATAAAATACCTCATTCCATTTTATTCCCTCATGAACCACTTCATCCCTTACCTCTAAAAGTTTTCGGGTCTACATGTTTTGTTCATAATTTTAGTTCTAGTCTTGACAAGCTTTCTCCTAGATCACATAAATGTGTTTTCTTAGGGTTTACAAGATCACAAAAATGATACAAATGTTTTTCTCCTTCTCTTAACCGTTATTTTGTGTCTGCAGATGTCACCTTTGATGAATTCTCTTTTTATTTTAAAAGTCAATCTTCACCTCTATCTCCATCCAATCTTGTCAACACTCCTAGTACATTTAATGTTCATGTTGTTTGTGACCCTCTAACTGTGTCTTCTTCATCATTAGATTCTACTCCGCAGTCAGCTTCTTCTTCACTGCCTCTTCAGGTTTATAGTTGCCGAAACCAATCACAACCACCACCATGTGACTCTACTCAAGTGCCAACTACTCTGTCTCCTCTGGATGTGACACCTGAGTCTGACCTTCCCATTGTCCTCCGAAAAGGTATCCGTTCTACATGTAATCCCTCTCCTTATTATATTGGTTTGAGTTATCATCGAATGTCATTACCTTTTTATACATGTCTTTCCTCTCTTTCTTCTGTGACCATTCCAAAGATTGTCCGTGAAGCTTTAGCCCATCCTGGTTGGCGTCAGGCCATATTAGATGAACTAAGTGTTCTTCATAATAGTGGAACTTGGAAATTAGTCTCGTTACTGTCTGGAAAATTTGTTATTGGTTGCAGGTGGGTGTTTGCTATCAAAGTTGGACCTGATGGTACTATTGATCGCCTCAAAGCTCGTCTTGTGGCCAAAGGTTATACTCAAATTTTTGGGTTGGATTATGGAGATACCTTTTCCCCTGTGGCAAAGATGACTTCTGTTCGTTTATTTATCGCCATGGCCGCTCTTCAACAATGGTCTCTTTATCAACTAGATGTTAAAAATGTTTTCCTCAATGGTGATTTACAAGAAGAAATCTATATGGAGCAACCTCCTGGGTTTGTTGCTCAGGGGGAGTCTTCTGGGATGGTATGTCGTCTTCGCAAATCCCTATATGGCCTAAAATAGTCTCCTAGGGCCTGGTTTGGAAAGTTTAGCAAGGTTGTTCAACAATTTGGTATGACTCGGTGTGAAGCAGATCACTCTGTCTTTTATCGACACTCAAGTGCTGGATGTGTTTACTTGATATTATATGTCGATGACATCGTTCTTACGAGTAGTGACAACCATGACATCTCTCGCTTGAAACAACATCTCTCGTCACCATTTTCGGACCAAAGATCTTGGCAAACTTAGATATTTCTTGGGTATTGAGGTGACACAGTCCAATGATGGTATTGTTATATCTCAGAGGAAGTATGCCATGGATATTTTAGAGGAAATTGGGTTGATGAATTCAAAGTCTGTTGATACGCCCATGGATCCCAATACTAAACTTTTACCAAATCAGGGGGAGCTTATACCTGATCCTAAGCAATATAGAAGATTGGTTGGAAAATTGAATTATCTTACAGTTACTCATCCTGACATTTCCTTTGCAGTCAGTGTGGTAAGCCAATTTCTTAATTCCCCATGTGAAGATCATTGGAATGCAGTCATTCGTATCTTAAAGTATATTAAATGATCTCTTGGAAAAGGATTGTTATATGATTCTAATAACCATACAAGAGTTGTTTGCTACTCGGATGCTCGATTAGGCGAGATCTCCTTCTGATGAAGATCTACATCCGGATATCGTGTCTCCATTGGTGGTAACTTGGTCTCATGGAAAAGTAAGAAACAAAGTGTTATGGCAAGATCTAGTGCAGAAGCAGAATATAGAGCTATGACCTCAGCTGCTTGTGAACTTGTTTGGCTCAAACAATTGCTTAGAGAGTTACAATTTGGAGATGTCACTTGTGTGTGACAATCAGACTGCTCTTCATATTAGTTCTAATCCTGTCTTTCATGAGAGGACCAAACACATTGAGATTGACTCGTCATTTCATTCGAGAAAAGATTATGTCCGGAGACATCAAGACCGAGTTTGTTAACTCAAGTGATCAGCTAGTCGATATTTTTACTAAATCTTTACTGGGTCCTAGAATTGATTATATTTGTAACAAGCTTGACACATACAATTTGTATGCTCCAGCTTGAGGGGGAGTGTTAGATATTGTTTAGATATTATTTAATATTGTTAAGATATTGTTAGATATTAACCATAATATCAAACAATATCTTCTGTTTATTCTGTTACTTTCAGTTACTCTTTTAGTTGTATCTCTCTACTATAAATAGACTACCCTGTGTGTGATTTATACACAAGGGAGATTAATCCCAAACTCTATTTCTTCTATATTCAACAATAATTATTTTTAAAATTTAAAATTAATGGTGGGTTGCGGGCCAACCCACCATAACTCAGTTCGAACCTGCTTAACCCGTGAGTTAAGTGAGTTGGATTCATTTTTAGCCCATAATCAGTAGAAATAAAAAAAAATTGAACCCAACCCGACTCGAACCCGTGGTGAGCCGGGTTGGTTTACGGGTTAGAACCCATATTGACACCCCTAGTTAGAGGAATGGATAAATGACTGAGTAGCTAAAGTAAATTTACATGATTTTAATTTTTTTATCATGTGAATTTTTTTTTTCTTTGAGTTATTTGAATTTTATGGTTTGATATAGAGCTGTAAAAACATATGGTTCAGTATAGTAGGATTTGGTCCTATGAGTCAAATTACAAAAAAAAAACTTGATGATCCAATCTATTTACATTTTATAATAAACCAAAATTTTTAACTTAATCTAACGAACTAATGAACCAACTTTGATTTGATTGATTTTTTTTAATATTAACATATTTATACGAAATCAATTAATTAAAAAATATTTAAATTAAAATATATTTTTAAATTTTATTAATAAAATTAATTTTTATATAAGATATAATATATAAATTATATGAGAATGTATCTCTTCAATCTTAAAATAAAAAATAAAAATTTAATTTTTATTATCATATTTATTTTTTAGTAATTTATTAATTTAAAATAATAATTATTAGGTGATTATTAGAGATTTATTCTAATATTTATAAGTCAAATTAATTTATAATATATATATATATATATATATATATATAATAAAAAAAATATTTTTATGTTTAATTAAAAATAATGTTATTTTATAAAATGTCTTGACTTATAAGTTTAGGGACTATTAACCTAAGTTCATATAAATCATATTCTAATTAGGTCGAACCAAAATAAGTCTAATTTAATTTAGATCATAATATTTTTTATTTAATTTGATCTATTTTTCAAATTTTTTTTTTGATTAGTCTATCAAGTTAAGCTATTTTACATTGTAATTGTGTTGGGCTACAAATTATAAAATAAATAAATAAGAAATATGTTCATAGTAAAACGATAATTTTTTTTAATTTAATAATTTTTTGAGAAAAACGATAGATTAACCTAAAATTTAATGCCTTGATTTTTGTGTTTATATATATATAATAATTAAAAAAACATTTTTTTCAAAACCCCACAGCATAGGTTTAAAATAATTAAATTTATTATGCTTTTTAAACTAAAACTACAACCTTACATAAACACTTTTCTTTGTTAGGAATTACATTTATATATAAATTAATCTTTTCTTGCATAAATTTGAAATAACGGTGAATTAGAAAATAAATTAATAAGGTCTAAGGTCTATATGGATGTTTACATTTCAAAATATATAATATATAGTGATCTTACTCATATACATTCAAAACAAATCCACCATGATTCCTTTTTCATATATTTAAAACGTGTCCCACACACATATGATGATAATTTTCTTGTTTTTTATCTGCAATATAATAAGATGCACTAAGCATTTCTTTGCTGTTTGAAATTAAAAAATATTTAAAATAAGGTTGAATATTTTTAAATCCTATAAACAGAATAATATCTACTTCTTTAAAAACAAATCTTCGTTTTTTAGTCCTTATGAATACTTGCAAGATAAAAAGGAACTAATTTTTATATTTAAGATTAAAAAAAACTTTATCTTATTAACTGAGATGAAATATACATGTTCAATTCTATAAAATGTCTCAAACTATACTTAATAGAGAAAAAAACTATACTTGAAACAGGACATGTTGATCACTGGTACTTTAGAAACTTACTAATATATTGAACAATGGTATACTAACTGACAAATATTGAAGACATAAAAGCCATATTTTTTAATAAGTTTACCAGTTAACTAAACAACACAGGCTAAAAGGAAGATACAAAGAGATAGGAAGCTAGAGTGGAAAGAATAAGGAAGAAGAACTGAACAAGTCTATGTTTCTATTTGATAAGATAGAGAAAGAGAAGAAGGAACAAATTTAGAGGGATTTAAGCATAGGAAGGGGCACAAGCTATGCAAGCTAGAAAGAGAATGGCAGAAGAAGCACCATCCTCTTCCAGATTGGAGCTGCTCCTCTTGAACTTGCCAGTTTTTCCTTTGTTGCACTGAATTTGTTTCGGCAGCTGCTGTTGCTGATTCTGGCCTTGTGGTTGCATTTGCTTGTTCCTCTTCATTGCTTCTTCCACTTTAGACACCATAATGTTTCCTTTCAGTGATGTTAAAGCAAATTGAAATAGAAAATCAGGATGCAAGAGAGAGAATTTTGTGCATGGAAACAGCCCTACATGTAGCTCCCCTTTTATAGAGTTTTCTTGGACCAAGATGCCCTTGGTAATAATACTATGGATATTTTGCCAGTTTTCACTTAGTTTATCAGTTCCTTCAAGTGGTATGAGATTGGGCCCCCTTTCCCATATTGACAATCTGAGACACACCAACCAAGAAATGTGTTTTCAATGTGGCCAAGGTGTAGAATGAACTAGTACCATTGACAATGACAACTACATATTGCATACCGTTATCAAAGTCAGATCCTTAATTCCCACATTATGCCAATCTTGCATTCCAATGTTTGATGGTAAATTTCCATAATCTACTGCATAATAGAAAAAATGACGCCAAAACTGTAAGGAATTGTTCACAAACAAGAGATAAAGTTACAGTTTAAAAAAACAGAAAAAATTATCACAAAACATTATACAATGATTGTATGATTACAATGAATGAGATTAATTACGTGCAACTGCCAGACTAGAACTTAAACCAGGATTGTCTTTATCAGATCATTGACATTTAGGAATAAAGAGTAATCATCATAATTGAAACAGCATGTGCGTAATTCTTTTAATTTGGCTATAAAAGGGCATGATCATCGTCATTAAGTGTCAGATTATTGATGATCCAGAATCAAAATAACAACAATAAGAACTATGTTTTAGATCATTATTGAAACCAATGATTACATACAAAAGCTCATTTGAAGTTGTCATAAAAAATAAAACATGTATACAATTCGAATCCGATCAACAACCATTACACGACAAAAATACTATAATTTCAATTAATTCCATGACAAATGATACATACGAAAGAGGTTACTATTTTCTTTTATATAATTTGAGAGTATCTATAATTTCTATTCAATATCTAACCCGTTTCTCTTTTAAAATGAAAACAAGTTTTGAAATATCAGCAAATCATATTTATATTAAAACAAAATTATTATATTTTCAAGGGCAATTGAGTCACTTAATTGTAATATTTTTTTCAACTTTTTTGAAGTCTATGGTGGGCATAAACGTTATGGAGAGTGTTGTTGTTTCTTCATGTGCGAAACCATGTGAGCATGTGCCCAACTTTTCGTCCTCTTCTACTCTCATCCACATCCTTCGGGCCCAACGGTTTTCTTTTGTAACTAAACAATAATAACAACACACTTCTGTTTTAGTCACCTAATAACGCAAAACAATGATTAAAAACCAAATACTAAACCTTGTATGTGATGACAAAACATTTTACGTATCTCTAGGTTGGTTCATGAATTTACCATTATAACTATACCCCTACATCCCCTGTTCGATTCACATGTTATCAACTCAACTTCACGTGATCCTTTCGTTTTCCATCAACTATGAATCATAATTAACGTGTTGATGTTGCGAGTATAGCGACGCACTCAATCTTTCTGGCTCGAAATAAAACCCTTTTTCTTCTATGTAATGAATCAAAAATTTGAAGATTATTACTACTATTCGAAGTGTCTTGCTATATATCCACTCGCATCGTACACGTTAGTTGTAGGATTTGAAGTTAAGGAGACGCATCTACCAAGAGAAGAATCTAATTAATCACCAACCAAATCTTAACTCGACAATAAAATTTGAGAATCCTTTTCCATCACCCTTTGGTTGATTCACCCCAACAAACACATCACGCATGAGAAAAATAGATTAGACATAAAAAGAATTTTGGCCATTGTCACTATTGCATTGGTGTCCCTAATTATATAAAATACACACCTTTAGCCTATTTAGGAAATTGATAATTATTATTAATCCATTTCTTTTAAAAAAAGGCTATGTTTAAATTTGAAATATTTATATGTATTTGTGATTTTTGTTCCTATTGTTTTAAACATAGAGTAAGTTAAAAAGTTACATTTTTTTTAATGTATTTTTAGAAAATTATAATGATAGTTTGACAACTCTAATCTTCTACACAAATACTGACATGTGAGTTAATAAATCTTTTATTTAAAAAGGCGAGGCTTAACTATATTAAGACATGAAACGTATTGAGTCAACCTGTTTAATTGTTTTATTATTATTATTATCATCATTATTATTATTATTATTATTATTATTATTATTATTATTATTATTATTATTATTATTATTATTATTATTATTATTATTATTATTATGTCTAATCTATTTTTGAGATGTTTTGAGTTTATTAAATTTATTTTATCGAAATTTTTATAGATAAAGTATAATTAAAATAGGAAGAGAAAGAAAGGCAACAAAAACTCAAACATTAATTTTATATAACTATCATTATTAAATTAAATATAATTATTATGTAATTAAAACAATTTTTATGATCTATATAAATTTTCTAATTTGAAATTAACATTTTTGTTTTTACTCACTAAAATAAATTATGACAGCATTTTATAACTGACGAAATCCATCGTGACAAAATCTATAATAATATCATAAATTTGTCACAAAGTTAAAAGTATATAGATGTTAATTATGATAAATTTTGTGATGAAATATGTTGTCTCATAAAATATCATTACATAAAATATCATTACGAAAGTTATTATAGATATATTTTTATTTATCTTAGTAACGAAATTTTGTGACAAAAATAGTGTATTACTAATTATTCCACCATAGATATAGTCACAAATTATAAAATGTTTAACATGTGAGCTCACCACTTTCACTTAAGTGAATTTTTTGTTTACCTTAAGCAAAAGTTTGATATTGCTTAAGCGGTTGATCGAGTTTTTAAAATTTTGTTAAGTCACTTAAGTAAAAATTTTGCTAACTTAAGAATTTTTTTTTTTGTCTAACTTTAACAAAAGTTTTGCCAACTTAAGTAAAAATTTTGCCTAGTTTAAGCAGAATTGAATAAGTTTTTAAAATTTTGCTAAGTCATTAAACGAAAATCTTTTCTAGATTAAGTGGAAGTTTTGTCTAACTTAATCAATAGATTGATCTTGCTTAAATAGAATTGAGTAAATTTTTAAAATTTTGCTTAGTCCTTAAGCGAAAATCTTTTCTGGATTAAGTGAAAGTTTTGTCTAACTTAATCGATAGACTCATATTGTTTAAGTAGGATTGAGTAAATTTTTAAAGTTTTACTAAGTCATTATCATTTAAGCGTGAGTTATGAGTCGTTTAAGCGAGTGTGGAATCCTTGTCTTACCCTTAAGTGTGATTGATGAATCACTTAAATTTAATGATTATTTAATATATTTACTTATAAATTTGCAATTTTATCCTTTTAGCATCCTTCAATTTTATAACTCTCATATAATTTATGATTTTGACATCCAAACTTAATTATCATTTAATATATTTACTTATATATTTACAATTTTATCTTTTCACTCTTTCATCTTCTTTCGCCCTTTTATATTTATTTATTATTTATTAATAATATATTATTTTGTCTCCCAAAATCAATGGTTAAGGTCCGTCACTCGATCCATGTGTTATCAATTTAAGCGAAATATATCAAACACTTAGTGACCATTTTTTTTCATATATAAAAGAATTGCATGAGTATAAAAGATGCAAACAAAAAATTTAGTTAAGGTATGAATGAAGGGAATATCACTTAGGTGTCCAAATTTGCTTGCTTGAGCAGGAGTTGTTTAGGCAGTTGTTAACAAATGCTTAAGTGTCTCTTGTTTAAGTTGTTAGTAATTGACCCTCAAGATAAGCACACTTAAGTTATTGTTAACCCATGCTTAAAAGATTATAGATGGATGCTTAAACATGTTTTCCTTAACCGTTCACCCTCACACGTTCAAGAAGAAGATAAAACAACTTATAACAATTATCGATGAATTAAATGTTACGTGTATACTTTTTATGTTTATTTTTATTCTTTCAAATAAAACATTTTCAAGATAAATATTTATCATGTAATATTATTTGAGTTTATATTATTTTTATATATAATTAAAAATTAAAAATATATTTTATTTTTTATTATTATCGCTTAAAGTTTAAAATATTCATTTAAACCTCGCCTTGCTTAAGTCATTCATATTCTCACTTAAGTTAAACTTGCTTAAAACGAAATATTTTTCAGTTAAGTAAATCTCACTTAAAACAGTGTATTTCTTGCTTAAACAAAATTTATTTAAATAATCACTTAAAAGAGTATACTTTTTTAATGATATTATTTTCATTTGTAATGACATGTAACAAAGAATTTGTGACATTTCATTTAAATTCGTTGTAATAAATTTCATCCCTTGATATTTTTTAATAATTATTATATATTTATAAACATTCACAAAAGATACACTTTAATAATAAAAAAATCGTGTAAATTAGTTATTCAAATTATTAATACTCAAAAATAAATAATAATTTTTATAATAATATTATTATGAGTTGAGAAAAATATTATTCAATAAAAGATATTAATTATTTAAAATAAAATATTCAGAAGAGTTATTTATAAAAATGTCAAATCTATTAATTAAGTTTAACCCATTAAAATAATACTATATAATTAAAACTAAATTCAAGCTTAAATTATTAATTTAGTAAAACAAACTTGTGTAACTAATTGAAAATTTAGCCAGTTAACTTCAAATTATTAATGAATAATAATAACTCAACGAATTTTTGTTTATAAACATGCCTTACTTTTAAGGTGGATAATTGTCGCTATGTATGCGAGTTGAGTATATAATATTTCTATAGATCTGGCAAAAGTATTCAACATTTTGGATTACTATATATAGTTTGAGGTAGAAAAAGCTTTTTGTTTTCTAGTTTTTGTATATCCTGATTCTTAAAAACAAGTCCCCAAAACATGTACTTATTATATCCACATATGTGCTACGATAAAGGAAAATCCATTTTTGTGCAAAAAAATAATTGAAAAAAAAATGTTAGAGTACTTTGATTTTATTCAATTGAAAAATTTTAATTGCTAGCTAATAACAAACGTACAGGCAAAAGTTATTGCAATGCGGTGAAAATGATAAGGCAGACATCTCCAATACCTGACTAGTCTCTATCGTACAGTACCATCATCTTAAATTTGTTCTCTAAATTTAATTTTTTAATCCTTCAAAATAAAAATAAATAAGTAAACTTTTAAACATCAATTTAAATTATTAAAAATAATTTTAAAACGTTCATGAGTATAGGAATAGTTTACACTCTCTTTTCTTAAATCATAAATATACAATTTAATGATAATATTATAATTAATATTATTATAACTTAAATGCCTAAGATTTTAAATTTTTATATTAAGAAGATTTTTTCAAAGTCAATGTTATAATATTAAATTTGGGTATAAATAAGATTATTATTATTATTATAATTC